AAAACTTTTACAATTAATATCATAAATTTTTTAAGATAAATATTTATGTAAATATTTTATTATAAAAACTAATTTTAATATTTTTATTACAGGCTTTTATCGTGTAAATTACAACAATCGCGGATGGGAAAACATTTTATATGCCTTAAAAAACGATGATCTGAATAATATTCATGTGTTAAATAGAGCTGCAATTGTAGACGATCTGTTGAATCTGGGTAGAGCAGGGTATTTGAATTATGTTACGGTTTTCGATGGACTGCGTTATCTCTCGAAGGAAACACATTACCTACCTTATAAAGCAGCATTTAATGGTTTGGAATTTCTAAATAAGCGATTTACTGGATCAGTGGAATACTTATTTAAGGTTTATTCTTATTAACTATGTATAAAACACAAATGTATAATATGAAAGTATATAATTTACAAAAACAGACTCAATCTTTTAATTACAAAAATTCAAAAATTCTAATTCTATCTGTCAAAGTCTTTTGAGTAATTTACAATTAATATTTTCTTTATATAAAGTTATTAAAATACATTTTTAAGCAATTAGAAATCAAAGATATTTAAATAAATTCAATTACTAAAAAAATAACAAATTTGTTACATAATTTTATAATATTATTTATTTTATATTTCTAGGCATACGTCGAGTCTCTTATCGCAAATGTACACCTCCGTCTAGAATATGATGATAACGAAAATGATGACAGATTAACGATTCTGTTACGACGAGATGTGAATAATTGGCTTTGTAAGCTCGACAATAAGGAATGTGTAACGACTTACACAGAGAAATTTAAAGCGTGGAGGACAAATTCTACTGCCCGGTAAGAATATACAAACATTTTGTCATTTCTATTGCGATTTCCATAATACACATATGATATGCATAGTAAAATTCAATATTCACGTAACCTCTATCTTTATGTAATATGAATACAAGCTTTTTGCGGTCATCTATTCTATAAAACGTTAGAACATTCTTTTTATAATCTTACAAAAATTCTGATTTTTATATTAAAAAAAAATAATTTTATTATAGTCCAGCTAATGTTT